CAAACGATGTATGTTCTCCCTCATATGTGGGTCCTGGCACCAAATCCTTTTAAATTCCAGGTCCTTTTAATAAGATGATGCTATACAGCAGTCCTTTCTGCGTGAAATAACTACCATCATCACGACTTCAGCTGAGCCTTATCACTAAACATTGCCACAATTGGGCTTGTTGATGGTTGTGCTCATTCATTAAAGGAAAGCCAAGCAGTGTCGCTGGACCCTTGCCGTAGTGGCCAGCCACTCTTCCCAGCCAACTGTATGGAATTTGACCCTAATCACACATGACCTCCTGGATTTGGGGAGGGCTAAAGTATACAATCTGGGGAAGGCTAGGAACAGAAGGCATGATCCATGCTGGGTAAAGGTTAAATATGTGTTTAAGTGGGAGCAAGTGTGGAGAGAAGCCAGGATACTAGAAAGGAGCCCATGAGATGGGGAAAAGAGGCTTTAAGGGAGGGGACTAGAGAGCAACAGAGCACATGCGTTGAGAGAAGGAGACGGGAGCTAGCAGAGGAGAAGGGTTACTGCGAGGAAAGGGGAGGGGCGAGCAGGGGAGGGGTGTGCCTACATTTCCCCTTTCACCATCTCCTCAATACTGTTCTCACATAGTATTTATGTTGCATCAGATACTATAGCTTAAAAGTTTTTTATTGTGTATGAGTGTTATGCCTGCATGTATATAAGTACACCCTGTCATGCAGTGCCCGTGGAGGACAAAAGAGGGCCTTGGATCCCCTAGAACTGGAGTTATCGACGGTTGTCAGTCACCATGTGGGTGCTGGGATTTGAACCAGGGTCTTCTGCAAGAATGGCCAGTGCTCTTAACTGCTGAGCCTTCTCTCCAGCCCTAGATACTATAATTCTTTAATCTAATATTTACACTGATCTCCCATGTCTGACTTAGATTTAGAACATGAACATTTTGTATTTTATTGAACTTATTTTCAAAGTTTCATCAAAGCTTGTGCCATGGAAACCCCACGAGATGGACTTGAACCAGTGTCTAGTCTACAAAGAGGAGGGTCAACTCAGAGGAAACATCTCATCCATGCTTCCAAGTGAAGCCAGACATGGTCGAGCAGGAACTTTGACTTATCTTCACACAGATGGAACAGGTAAAAGAAAGGAGCCAGGAGCTCCTCCCAAGCCCATGTGACGTCTGAGGAACAGATCCTCATGTGACCTTAAGTGTAAAAATAAACTGATTTATTTGGGCCAACTGTATGGTCTTAAACACCCAAAAGGAAAGTGTAACCAAAGAGTAAATTCATCATTGTATTTCTTTAAGAGTTCAAGGGATTACCCTTCCCAGACATTAGGCTTACGTCTATATAAAAAGTTATTTAGACATTATTTCTCATTGATGATTTTGTTCCTGACCAGAAAGTGCTGCTCAGATGTAAGACTTCAAATCTTGGTCTCCAATACTGTAGTGCCCACCTGTAGCTAAGGGAGACAACCAGCTATTGTTCTAAACTGATGGATAAATTTATTTTCTCCCCCTATTTCAGAAGCCTTTGAGAGGGAACTGACACTGATTCTAACCACTCCAACTGCTAACAAAATACCTGAAAGCAAATCCTGAATCCATCACTCTAGAGTCCAGCCTTGGAAGACAAAAGAAAAAAACCAATAGAGGGATGCTTTTGGAAGCCCTTGTCAAGAAACTCCAATGGACTCTCATACGAACATTTGAAAATTGCCCTGTCTAGAACTTGTAATGCCTTTACTTCTCCTTCACATCTCCAACTCATGAATCAAAGGCTTTCTTTTCCCCTTAGAGATAGAGTTATGCAATTAGGGAGTCTTTTAGACAGACCCACTGAAAGGGTTCTCCAATTGCCCCAGCCTGCGTCCCTGTTCAGCATGGAAGAAGCCAGAGTGGTCTGTGTCCCAATTCCCTATTGGCAATTTAGGTAACCTCTTCAGAGAATGGTGTGATAAGAATAGGAGATAGGAGTTCATTAGGCAGTTAGGGTAAGAAGACCCCAAAGAAAAGTAGCCAGTTTCTTGGCTAAAACTCACAATGTCCTTGGGCCTCTTAGCAACCTACTCCATTCCAAAGGCCAAAAATGTCAAAAATATTTGGGAGCTCTTATCCAATCCTTAAAAGATTTTAGGGTTACCTCTTCAGAAGGGGGAATGTTAGAGTAGCCAAAAGCTCCATTAAAAAAAATAAATAAATCAAGAAGAAAGAGTACATGAAATTATCAGAAAAAAGTGATGGGGAGATATGTGAGGAGTTGGAGGGGAGGGAGTAGGCATGGATTTGATCAAAACACTTTATATGCATGTATGAAACTCTCAATAAATTATTTAAAAAATAAATTCTCAATAAATTATTTTTTAAAAAAGAGTCTGTGTCCCTTTATGTCCCCACACAGCCACCTTTCCCGGTCAGGACCTGAAGAAGGACTCTTCAAACCTTTCCCTATGACTACCATACCCTCATCTAGCCCTGGAGTAAGGCCACTCCAGCTTTGGTTACCCTCAAAGGCATGAAGAGTGTCTATCTGACTTCTTATCCCTTGGCCATGAACACAGCCAGGTCCTCAGGAAGTCCTGCTGGATTGAATAACTGAAGTGGTTGGACCCAGGCCAACAGATGCCTCAGGAGCAGCAAGTGCCAAGGAATTGTAGCAACACAGATAGTCTGCCCTTGAGAAATCCAGATCCCAGTGGGAAGACCAGGCAGAAAGGTCCACACAAAGGGATGGTAAGTGCAGTAAAGGCACAGACGCACACTCTTGGCTTTCTAAAGAGGGTCCCTCACAGCCGCCTGGAGAGTCAGAGGGAGGCAAGGCCCCAACTAAGTCCCATTGGCTTGTAAGATTTGGCAAGAAAACAGAGGTAGAGATTCTGAGGCACCAGGCAGAGCCACGATGCAATGATTCCTGAAGACATCACCCCAGGATGTGAGACACCTCAGGAAGACAAGGACCCCAACCAAGGCGTGCTTATCCCACCTTTCACTCCATCTTAGAAGTCACTGTCTATGTGGGACCCAGAGCAACATGGAGATGGGAAACGATGGGGAAGCATCTGCCTTTTATCAAAGCACCAGTACAGCCCAACTGTAGCATGCCACAGCCCTGGCTGAAGTGCTCTGTGCATGATACAAGAATGAAAATAATCTCCTGGCAGGGGCCAGTGATGTAGGCCTGTGATCCCAGCTACTCAGAAGGATGAGGCAGGAGGATCACAAGTTCAAGGCCTGCCTGGGCCTCAGCATGGGATCATGGCCAGTCTGGGCAACTGAGACCATGGTTCAAAAAGCAAACAAAAACACCTTTAAAAGAGCTAAGGACGAAGCTCAACAGCGGGACACTTGCCTAGCATCATGCAGGAGTGCCTAGGATCCAGCTTCAGTGCTACAGAAAAAGAAGAGAGAGAACGAATCCCCTGAATTCTGCCACCAGAAAGCAGGTCTAGCAGCCCAAGAAAAGAGCCCAACACAACAGAAGATGACAGGAGGATTTCTGCCCTCTGTCTCTGTGTCTCCCTCTGTCTCTCTCTGTCTCTGCCTCTCTCTCTGTCTCTCTTTCTCACTCTCTCCACACACACACATATACACACACACCACATGCACACACATGCTCCTTAGGAAGATGATCTCCAGGCCCAGCATCAGAGAGCACCCATCTGAGATAAAAGCCTTCTCAGAATCTATAAATTCTGTTCCAAGAAAACGGCCAACTTGCCCCACACTGCCCACAGAAGCACAATCCACACACTAAGCACAACCAGGAGGAGGGTAGAGGTGTGGGAAGGTAAGTGGCTCCTCTGTCATGGGTGCACTCACTGGGGAAGGCAATGCAAAAACCAGCACTCACACTGTGCAGAGTGGGTCGCATACTAGTCTCCTCTGGTTTCTTTTGTCAGTCAGATACTGTTTATACAGTATCTAGCACATCCAGGCGCCTTCCTATATGTTTGAAATGAATCATGGAAGAAGACAGATAGAGATATAACTTTTCTGGGTTTCCAGTCCAGTGGGAAAGATGAGTGGTACACTTAATAAAGGATAAATTCTGTGCTAGATTGGGATAAATTCTATGGAAATGGTCTAAAGGGAGCCACGAAAGCTGGGAGAAAGAGAAAGCTACAATTTTGACAGATGCAGCCTGACTGAGAGGGGAATATTTGGGTAAGGGGACACTCTCTATGGCCCAAGGAAAGTGCCAGAACAGAGGTGCCTTCCTAGCAGGAATAAGAGGCTGGTGTGGTCTGTGCAGCAGGAGTGAAGGAGCAGGCTGGAGAGATGACTCAGTGGCTAAGACAACAGCTCCTCTTGCAGAGGACCAACGTTTGGTTCCCGGCACCAACACTGTGGATGACAACCATCCATAAACTGTCTGAAATTCCAGTTCCAGGGGATCTGATTCCCTCTTCTGGCCTCTGTGAGTACTGCATGCATATAATATACTGACATACATGCAGGCAAAACATTTGTACATAGAAAATAGAAATAAAAATATTTTAGAATGTGAGATAGTGCTCAGAGTACGGATGACCTTAGGGGTTCACAGAGTAGCTTGATGTGAAG